ATAAATCATGTGCTCCAACCCCCTAATTTTTGTTGCCCTCTGTTGGACCTGAGTCCACATTTTTTCTGTAGTGTGGGGCCCAGAACTGGACACAATACTCCAGATATGGCCTAACCAGTGCAGAATAAGGAGGAATCATCACTTCTCTAGATCTGCTGGAAATGCTCCTCTTAATGAACCTGAACATGTCACTAGCCTCCTTGGCTACCAAGAGCACCCTATTGGCTCATATCTAGCTTCTCATTCACTGTAATCCCCAGGTCCTTTTCTGCCAAACTGCTGCTTAGCCAGCCAGTCTGCAAGTTTTTTCTGGCAGAAAATATGCTAATGAGGGACTCATTAGCATGAGTCAATCTCTTTAGCATATTTTCTGCTACCGTATATACTCGAGTATAAGCCGACCCGAATATAAGCCGAGGCACCTAATTTTACCACAAAGAACTGGGAAAAAGTATTGACTCGAGTATAAGCCTAGGGTAGGAAATGAGGCAGCTACTGGTAAATGTAAAAAATGAAGATAGATACCAATAAAATTACATGAATATTTATTTCAAAGAAAAACAATAACCTAGCTCTGTAAGTGGAAAAGGGGGTCAACAAAAACAATATGGTATCAAAAATACCGTAACTTTAAAAGTACAACAACCTTAGCTCAATCAGCAACCAAGCTAACACACAAGAGCTAAAATCCTTCAAAACTGGAGTTCTCCTCCTCATCATCTGTATGTCCAAACAGAGCTTCAGCTGGTGTGAGGTTATCAGCATAGACATTGTCATCATCACTGACAAACTATTATGGAGTAGTTTTTTAAGAAAGCATATTGGAATGTATTTAACTCACTTAGAAGCAGTCCCAGCTCTACGAACATCAAAATGCAGTATGTAGAAAAAGTTGAAAGAAAAATATAGTAAATCTGCCCTCTTCCACAACAAGTAAAAATAGCACCTAATGTAGCATCATTGCCAATCTACAGCAGCTATTCAAGTACATGAAAGTTTAAGTAAAATACTTCCAACTTAATCTTAGAAATGTTTTATACCCTTTTAATATATCATTTTTTAAAAAGTTCCTATAAAGCTACATGTGGCATTTCATTTCTTTTCACAAGTTTTAGGAACTGAACTGAGCACTTTTAATATGCTCTGGATTATAAATTCTCTTTAAAAGTTTATTGTGAAATACTGGCAAAACCAATTGTCATTCAACTGGTATATAAACGAGACCCAAGAGTATAATGAATTTCTATCTACAACATTTAGTCAAATCCACCAGGGAAGGGCAGTAATTTCTTTTAAAGTAGAACCCTTTAATTGTTCCTACGTACCTTCCAATATTCAGTTGTATTAAATACATTTCTTCAGACAATTGTCCTAGTATTCAGTCTTTCTTGTGTTTAGTGCACTAACAATCTGGCGTAAGTTACTGTACTAATATGAAACTATTCAGCAGTTTGACAGATTAAATATTTTTAATAAAACAGTACAGGCAGTCCCCGGGTTACGTACAAGATAGGGACTGTAGGTTTGTTCTTAAGTTGAATCTGTATGTAAGTCGGAACTGGCGTCCAGATTCAGACACTGCTGAAACTGACCGCCAGTTCTGACTTACATACAGAATCAACTTAAGAACCCCAGGCGTCCCCAAGTCAGCTGCTGCTGAAACTGATCAGCAGCTGATTCCAGGAAGCCCGGGGCAGAGCAACTCTGCCTGGGGCTT